AAATATTTTTTCAAAAACAACGACAAAAAATTTTTCATTTCATTTCAATAGTTACTCAAACCAGCTCCTCTGTTCTTCGTTATTCTCGCTCCAACAACTCAAGTAACTTCTCCATCTCATCATCATGAACCACTTCTTCAAGTCCACCCCTCAAATCAATCAAGATACTTTCAGCGGTCTTTTTAATCGTCTTGTATTGGATATATGCCTGTGTTCTTTGATCCACCTGTAACATTTCCATGTACTTCTTGAAGTAACGGGTGACTAATCCGTCCCAGGTCAGAACCACAGGAATTTGAACCACTTTAGCGCCATACATAATCGCCAGTTCGTTAGCCAATATTTCATATTTTCTGGCTTTTGTCGTTTCAGTCGTTTTCAGCCTATCTTTGTTGGTTACCCCAACTTCTACCAGGATTATCTCTTTCTTCTTCTTATCGAACACCATTAGATCTGGTTTGTTGTTCTCGATCCGTAATTGAGTTTGAATTGGTAAATCAGATTTGATTAATACCCTTTCATTAGACAAAACATTTTCCACTTTGTAGTTCTTTAATTTATTTCGACGACTCAGACCATATCGTTTAGTGAACATAAAATGAAGACATCTAACTATTTCATTATGACGTCGTTTATAATCAGTATCAAGGATTCGTCCGCATTTCGTTGCCAGATGATCCACCGATTTCTTAGCCTTACCACAATGATTACACTGTTGATTGGCAAAGAACAAATTCCTATCCTGAACTTTTGTGAGCATACCCTCTTCTTGTGGGGATATCATCCCTTTCGTCAGCCAAATAGTAGAACCAGCAATATCAATCACTTCTTCCTCATTTTCAAACAGGACTCCGTGCAAAGTTTTTTCTTTGATTTTGTTTATTCTTTTCTCACTCTGCAGCTTGATGAGATCTACTGTCGAAATTTGTGCATTTGGTTCTAAGCAATATTTTTGTTGGATATACTGATTTATCGTTGCTAGATGTGTTACGTTCTCCTTCTCAGAATCCAAAACTGGTGTCAGATCACTTCTCGTGGACAAATATTCGTGGAGACTTACCAACATCGTCTCTGATCTTTCTTCAATGTTGAATAGTCCTCTACCCAATTGTTTACGTGGCAGATATAATCTATCGACATTTGCCGCCTTTCGCGATATTTTTTTATCTACCAAGATCTTACGAATATCGCTATCGATATTTTTGATTTCTTCCGGTTCGAATTCGATTATTCCAATATAGTAATTTATCGTAGATATGGCGAACTCATTAATTGCCTTGAACAAATTTCTAGCACTTAATTTCGTATCAGCCAATTTAATCACTCTATCCATAATTTTGTTTCTGATCATAATTTTGTTCTCACTCTTAATAAAACTGTTCTTGTCTTCCCACACGCCCAAGTATTTATATCCCTTCATCTCATCAGGGATTTGACCAAAGGTAAACTCGTCGATGGTATTTGACGCTGATTTTTCTTCATTCGTTTTCAATCCAATCTGGTTTAGCCATTCACGTGTTTCCTTACATATTTCATTCAACGCATCACGATTTTTTGCAAATAATTTGATGTCATCTATAAACAATATGTGATTTCGTTTCAATTCGGTATCTCTCACACTTATTTTTTCACATTTCCTATTCAAAATTCTTGACAATGGCTCCAAAGCCAGCACGAATAATTTTGGTGATAAGGAGTCACCTTGTAGTATGCCCTTGTCAATAGCGGCACTTCCAATCGAATTCCCATTAACGATAAGTTTAGTTCTTTGATTACATAGCATTCTCTGGACAAAATTGACCAGATTTGTTGGCAGATTTAGTTGTTGTAAGCACTCGATCAGATATACATGAGATACCGAATCGTAAGCCTTCTTTACATCGATCCATGACGTGAACAATTGATAATTGTTGGAGCTATTGATTGTTTTATTGATGAGAGCCTGTTCTTTGGCACCCTGCGTTCCTCTTTTGGTGCCCAATTGATTTGGCGAAATCACCTGGTTGGTATCCAGGATGTCGGTGATGATCTTAGTCACAATTTTGCTGATTAACTTGTACATATTTGGGAGACACGTTATTGGTCTAAATTCCTCAGGCTTAGCTGATTCCTTCTTTTTCGGAATAAGATATGTGGTGCCTTCATAGAAGGTTTGATGGATTTTTTCCGGATTTTTAATTGCATCTATAATTAAGTCACTTAACTTTTGATGAGTTGAATCGATCTTTTTGATGAAGAAATTATACACCATGTCATGTCCTGGCGTTTTCCAATTAGCCAGGTACTTGATCGTTGCCATGATTATCTCTCTTTGCCTATCGTCATCGACTTCAACCTGTAATTGTACAGGGTCCAGTGTTCCCACGATATCGTCAAATTCATTTTCATCCTGATCGGACTTAGACCACATTTGTTGCCAAAACTCAAGCACTTCTGTTTGGTTGACGTTTTCACTAACTTTTCGTTGTTGCTCATCAATCCCTCTATAAAATCTTTTTCTATTGAATTCGAATCGTTCGTTGTCAATATGAAATTTTATTCGATTATTGTTTACGTCCAATCTTCTTTTATGAGATGCGATTTTTTCACTGATTTCATCTCTGATTATTTTCACCCGTCCTGTATTATTAGAATGACATCCTCTATTTTGAAGAATTCGTTTCACTTTGGCGGATACTTCCTTAGTTGTTAGGAAATTATCAATTGCTTTCATCTTGTCTTCCAGCTTCTGCACTTTGTTTTTGATGTTCGTTTCCCAATTGTTTTGCACCTTATTCACTTTGGTCATCTCCTCATATGTCATCTGACATGCATAATACAGATCGTTCATTTGTTCCAGTGTAGCCATTTTATCTAAGATCTTCTCCTTTTCGATTATGATATTGATCATTTTGAATATTTCGTTCTGCTCTCTTTGACTATATATTTTTCTTGTGAATCGCTTCACTTCTTTGTTGTTGACAAATTTGTCGATATTATTTAGTAGTAACTGCTTGATTTTGATGAATTTCTTGGTATCATGAATTCGTTCCATAATAGTTTGATCTTGTATTTCGCTTTCGTTGTCGTTTGTTCGTCGATTTTGTTGTTTATTTTTCTCTCTATTATACTCATTTTTCAGATCGATTATCGACACTTGTGAATTGAATTGTATATCATATGCACTCTTAATCTTCGCCCATCCTCTTGGTGGAATCCGGTTGTTAAGTCTTCGTGACACCATTTGAAACAATTTAATCGTCCATTCTTCTTTAGCAACATTTTTTAATTCGTCCAATATTATTTGTAAACTCACCAATTTTGAGCTTGTTTGGTTTCGCGGCTGGCCGCCATTTTCCCCACTGTTACTAGCGGTGTCGTTGTCATCGTTGTTGACCGTTGGAATTTCGTTGATCAGGTCCAACCCTCTCGGGATTTCGTTCGTTTGTTGATTATGGCTTAATTCTTCGAAATCCGGAGTTGTTTGACTTTGACAAGGTATGTGTTTCTTTGAAATTTTCTTTGGTTTCCCAATTTTGAAAAACAGT